CCTCGGATAATAACAGGAAATTGAATGATGTGACCACAAAGCCGTTTATTCTTAAAAAAGTTTGGACCGTTTTGTAAAGTGAGGTCTTTCTTCATTTCTTCAAAAGAATGTTGAGCATGATGAGCTACTTCATTGTTTTCTGAGATGCACATAAGGAGGTAGAAGCAATCGATTCTCCATGTTGTGTTCTACTCTAGTAGCCGGTTGTTTTCATTCTGGAATGGGGTCACGTGATACGAGCCTGACGAATCAACGAAGACCCCCCCCAAAAAAAAGACCCTACCAGCAAGTGGTTGTTCGAGTCTCCGTCATCGTTTCAGAACATCTCAGTTTCCAGCAGCGTGGACTCCAGGCGTCTCTCTAGCGAAGTGGAAAAACGCAGTCGTGTGGCTCAGACCTCAGTTTATGACTTGAGTCTTAAATTGAACTTGACCTCAGTGTTTCTGACCCGACTCCCTGCAGAATCCCAGACTAATACAAAAGAGAACATGGGTCCAGCCTTCGATGGACATTCATCTCATTTCTGGGCCTTTGCATTGTGAGGAATTGGTCTCAGCAGAGTGTTAAACCACTGCCCTGTTGATTCAATGATGGATATTCAGAGAACTGAGAGACTTGCAGCTGACTGACAGTTTGCTTACAAATACGTGTGACTTTACTTGCACTCAGCAACTTAGAACTTGGCTTCAGACCTTCTTTCACAAGATCTGGAGCCGGACTTTCACTTCTCCCGAAAGACGGAAAGCTGCTCAAGTTTAAGTGTTGAAGTTAGTTGTCATGGGTGAAGTTGGGGGATAGTTAAAATATCGTATCAGGAGGTTCCCTACAGTCCAGTCCTCTAGAGGAAGGCCAGAATTTGTAAATGAGTGTTCAGCATGTTGTGCTCATGGGCTGTGCATGCGTGTGTCCTGGGACAGAGGGTGGACTGAGGACAAAGTGTGGGAGGACGAGACAAGGCTGCACATGGAGCCACAACACCCCCACAGCAAACAAGAGGGAGACCAAACCAGCAGCCCAGCCCATACAAACACACTCTCAGCACATGACAACACTATTGTGGTGGAGGGAGACTGGTGTGTGTGTGTGTGTGTGTGGGTCTGTGTGTGTGTGTGTGTGTGTGTGTTGTAGGTGGGGTGGGGTGGTCAGCTGGGTTTCCTCCAGAGAGTCAAACAAATGGAAGGAGGGAGATTCACTTCCCCATTGGGACAGACAGATAATATTGACATAGTCTGTCACAATAAGAGTCAGACTGAGCCAAACACCCCAGAATAAAGAGTTTACTGAACGTTTGTCTATAGAATCTATTTAAATCTGACTTTTCAACGTTATATACATATGTATTTTTAAACTCCCTTTTCAAAAACGGCATCAAATTAAACATCTCCAGTCTGGTTCATAGTCAAATTAAAGAATCAAGCTTGTGTGAAATCCCTCTTACGTAGATTCATTTCAGAGACAGCATCGTCAATGTTCAGACGATTCTCAGTTATTCTTCCACAAACAAACCTGGAAACGTGTGAGGCTGTTTCTATAAGTCTCTAGTGTATGTAGAAAAAACATCAACACAAAAACAACACAAATTCTTCCGTCTTGTGTTCGGCGCCTCTGAGTCGTCTGTCGTGCAGAAATCGCAAAATCTCTGTTTGACAGTGAGCCGAGACAAGAGCGTTTGTTTTTATTATCAATCTTACAGCCGTAGCTTTAACTTCGAAAGATAATCATAAACTTTGCTCACTTATATTCGTGCTTCTTCAGGTATTAGAGAAAATCGTGGGTTCGAACAGAGCTTGAGTCCTGGGGTGTCAGAGTTATGTGGCTCTGGGACTTACTAGCTACGTTCAACTCAATGTACATTTGACGCTTTGAGAAAGATATCTGTGATATCTGGTGCAGTTTTATTGAATTTAAAGGGAAAGTTGCACCTTTGTGGAGGTATGAGCTCCACTGAGAACCATTCTTGTCTTGTTTTCGTTTTTATTCACCTTATTCACCCTACTGATTTAAAAAAATGGAGTAATTAAGAAGAGACTTGTGTGTGTGTGTGTGTGTCTGTGTGTGTGTCTGTGTGTGTGTGTAGTAAGTGCATGTTCAGCTCCACTCAGCTCCCCATGACTCATTTTCTGGGGAGTCGTGTCATGTCTCCCCTCAGGTGAAAGGGATAAGATCTCACTCACACACACACACAGCGGTGAGTCAGGAAGGTGTGTCTGTGTGTGTGCGTAACTTGTCTGCATATATGCATGTAAACATCTGTGTGTGTGTGTGTGTGTGTGTGTGTGTGTGTGTGTGTGTGTGTTTATTTGCCCCAACCGCCGTGACCCCACCTCAAGTGTGTGTGTGCATCTTGTCAGGTGTGCGTCAAACGTGGGCGGGCCGACCGCACTGTTTTCACACGACGCCTTGGTGTGACCTCGGAGGTTGCCGGTGACCGTGATTGGCCGCCAGCTAGCAGCTCATTAAGCCACTCGCGGGGGGGGGGGACACTGTGCCAGGAGACACACTCTCCATTTGTTTCACAACACACGGACAAAGTCACGCACACTCGTCAGAGGGACAAGTATGGCCGCCTCCTGCATGTGCACGGAGTCTGTCTGGCCCCTGTGACCCGGCTGAACTTTGGCTCACCCTCATTGGTTCATCACACCACACGACCTCACACCTAGATGCCTCCTGGCTGCTGGACCAAACCGTGGGTTCATGACCGAGAGGAGAGGAGGAGAGCAGAGGAGGAGAGGAGGAGAGGAGGAGAGGGGATGTACTCTCCTTTCCAGGAACTCAGAAACATGTCACAGATTCGATCTTGATGACGTTGTGTTCTTGACAGAATCCCCCGCGTGTAGAAAACGTTTGATCAGCAAAACCGGCAAGACAATTTTTTTCAGTTTTTCAGGACGAGAGAAGGAACAGACAATTACCCAGAATTCAGCAGTGTTAATTATATCATGGATTTTATCCAAAATCCTCATCTGTTGATCTCATCATCTTCTTCTATTATCTCTTCCTCCTTCTTATTAATAGCTGCCAATTTAGAGCAGCTTGTGGCTTCTTTGCGTTTGGATTTCACAATCAAGGTTTTTCTGGTGCCACATTTTATTGTGACTCAAAGCTACAACCTCTGCTGTGGTTGGCCTGCGTGGTATTTAATTTATTTATTTCAGGAAGCTTAAAGGCTCGTCAGCATCTCCTTCTCCTTTTAAAGCCTCGGAAACATTTTTAAACTTGGAAAATTCTTATTATTGCCATAAAACAGTTCAAGTACTTTAAATTTAAAAATTTAAAACTTCAGACATATGTTGAACATATCCTGCAAAAAAAAATCATATTCCCACAGTCTTATTAAGGGTGTGTGTGTTTGTGTGTTCATTAGTGTTTGTGTACCTCGAGGCCTGGTAACGTACTCGCTGACTCATCGTTCTCAGAGAGAAGAATCTGCTGACCGCGTTAGGTCTGCAGGGGAAACCCTGTTGCTCAACAGAATGACATTTACACTGACTCTCTCTCTTTTTGACAAGTGTCTGTCTTTCTCTCTCTGCTTCTACCTTTTTACTCTGTCATATATTTTTCTGGCACATTTCTATTTTTTTTTCTGTCTCTTCTGCCTTTTTCTCCTTCTCACTTTGCCGTGATGTCTTCAACTCACTTCACCCCTGGCTGGGCCTTCTCCCTCTCTCCCTCTCTCCCTCTCTCCCTCTTTCTCCCTCTCCCACTCCGTCGTCGTTCATCTTCAGTCCATTCCTGGGACTGACACTCCTCCCCCCGTGCCCCCCGCTCCCTCATCTCTCTTTCACCATACGATACTTGTCTGTTGACGTGTCCGTCGGCAAGTTGCTATACCAACTGGATGTTTCTGCTGACCCCTCGCTCGCTTTGCGTGACAGAGCTGCAGCCGCAGGGCAAAGATTAGCAGACGGGTCTACTGTACAAGTGCACGGACACACACACACACACACACACTTAAGAGTTAAACAGGCATGTAAATGCATGTACTTGTACTTATATGCATACATCATTTAACATACAGAACATGCAAATACTAGATTGGCACTCAGAAGAGGACATATCTCTGCAAAGGCTCAACAGTTCCATCAATTCAATCGAGCTGCACCACATTTCACACACTCATAAATATCATTCCCCAAATAAATATTATTTAATCTTCAAGATTTTGTTTCAGGTCAGTGAGGTCAACAGACTGACTCTTGTATTTAAACTCACCATAATTTAAAGGTCCCTGGCAGAGCCTTCATTTTCACCAAGAGTTGAGTTTCAGTGAAATTCATCTGAAGGGGGCGCTCAGACTTGAACTGAGGACCTCTTGATCTGCAGTCAAATGCTCTACCACTGAGCTACACCCCCTGTTACTGAGGGGGGTATAAAACCAAAGGGCCATCAAGGCCCATGGATCCCATTATGAAATCGCATTTCAATTCACCAGACCCGGATTTTTATTTGGACCTGAATTGCTTCATTTTTTCATTAAGATTTTTTGAATTATTCTCTGGTGAAAAACACAATGTTAAAGAAAGACATAAAAAGATTTCTAATCCAGTTCTGCACCAAAATGTAAAGGGTTCTTCCCAGAACACATCCCTCGTTGAGTTTGTGGCGATCTTGGAACCCATCCTCTGACAATGAATTAGCCTCTGGCGGCAAACGGCCAATATTTGAGGTCATCCATTCACCGAACCGTATTTACAGACCGACTGATTTCTTTTATCACACAAGTAGAACGTCTCTCCAAACAAAACACAAAAAGAAAAACTTATTGTTGGTGTTTTTGCTCCGTTAATCTCTATCTTCATATGAATACAGAAACATTTAAAAGCCGTAGCGTTTCTGTCTCTTCTGCTCTCCACAAAACATTGACTCCTTGGATAAAAAAAAATAAAAAAAAGTGAAACAAAAGCAGAGACGACTCTAAATTAACTTTATATTTCTTGAACATTTTTATTTTATATTAAAAATAACATTCATAACAGTAACAGTTGGACAACCAATAATTATAATCTGAAACGTTTGCAACAATAATTACACTTGAGAACCGGAGAACTCTGCATCCTCCTTTTTTTTTTTAAATAAGTTAAGAAATAAAGTTTTTCTCTCTCCCCCCCCTTGATATCGTTTTTCTAAAAGCATTTATACAGTGTTGGCTATAACAGCGTCTCTAACAGCCAGGTCATTAAGACTTGCTTTAATGTGAATATTCATAACACGTTATCTAGGCAGGCATTTGTTATTCTGTTTGGATCCGGCAGTAGTACAAAATGAGCAGGTTATTGATATTTTCCAGTACATGAAGCTACAGTACACAGCGGAGTACTTCTCTAAGGTCAGTGTTATGATCAGTGTATGGCTACTCCAGTGTTAGATACAGTTAGACATTGTAAGATAACAGTAATGTTTGGCATCGAGGCCTCAGCTGCATTTCCAGTTATTGTCCCAGTGTAGACATCCAGTCCTCCACGTCTCCACTTTCAGCTTGTGCTCCACATTTAGCCTCAAATAGCGACGTCATAGTCCGAGTCATCGTCCGCTTCACCGATCAGTAGTTGAGCTCGATGTCAAAGGAGCCAATCAATGGCCACCGACTGCAAGGACGCTCCAGCACTTTAGCTTTGGGCATCTGATAAACTTCCATCGATCCTCGTTAGCGGGATGTTCGTGGTTCATAGGATTAAGATCCAGTGTTTAGTTTGACAAATAACTTCCAGTCCAACGAGTTCATAAGATTGCACTTCTTTTTTTTTTTTTCTTCTCAAATCCATGAAGCTGGATGCTCTGCGGCAGCTCTGGAGCAGGAACGGTAACTGCGTCTGAAGTCGTCCAATGGAAAAACAGCAGCAGTGTCCGTCACCTCTGTCCACAGAGTCGACCGTCGGCACATTCAAGAATCCCACATTCTTCATCTCTCCGTTTGGAGCAACGCGTCGAGTCAAAAGCTTTGGATTAGTTCAGCGTCACCTGTAAGAAAAGAAGATTCGTGAGATAACGGTGATGTTTTTTTCATTTTCCACTGTTACACTTCTGTAAAACTTCTTTAAAGCTTCTCAAAATATCCCTCAGTTCATCGAAAAAATACTTCTTAAAGATTTTAAAGTACATTACGCCGCCCCGCAAAGATGATCCTCTCACCTGCAGCTCTACATGATCATGGCCCTGAGAGCGGCTTTGCTGATGCGTTTGCGGTGTTTCCTCCTGCGGCGAGGGGAAGCCGGACGGAACGGGGCCTGACGTGCAGAGGGGGACATGGGGGCCACAGTAGAGTCGACTGGGAGAGATAAAAAAAAAAAAAAAAGACAATAAAGTAAATATGAGGGTAAACAACAAAACAAAGCAGTAAAGAAATTAATTTTAGTGGTTTGGTCTGATAAGTTGTGTTAAAGATAAATAAATAAAAATGTTCCACTTTAGTTTTGTGTATTTGTGCAGTTTTTATAGTTTTACATTTGAAGCATTTTGTTGTTTTGTTTTATTCCATCGCTGGATGTGATCTGGCTTTTCTACGATTTGATATCTTTACACTTATATTTCAGTCGGCCAATCAGAGCAGACTGGGCTTTATCGGGGGGGGGGCCTTAAAGAGACAGGAGCCTAAAACCAAGTGTTTCAGACAGAGGCTGAACAGAGGAGCTGCAGCACTGGACAGTTTGAGTTTGTGTTTTTAGAGTTCGTAAACCTTTTCAAGTCACTAAACAAATTTAAATTCTGAACACAGGCAGAATACGTCTCCTTAAACAGTCTCATCTGGGTGTAAACAGCGTTATAGAGCAGCAGGGGAGAACAGAAACTGGGCGTGGAGCTCCTGTCGTGGCTCTCGCTGCACTCTGAAGGGCACCTGATAACCTTGAAGCCTGCATAACAAAGCCTGCAGGTTTGAGTGGAACACGGAGCAGTGGGAAGTGCAGCTGTTTGGGCGCGAGGCTCTCAGGGGGTTGAGGAAGAATAGCAGGACACGTGGAAGTGGTGTTTACGGTCATACGTGTGCAGTGAGCTGCTTCCGGCCCTGGAAAAGTCTCACACTGATTCTCTCACACGTGAACCGCTCAAATTACAACACGCTCCGGCACAGAGGCAGCGCACACACACGACCACTGGAACACAACGGTTGTCAACCCTCCGTAAATCTGTCCTCGAAAACAAATAACGAGAGCAGCAATTGTACAAACAAGTTCTCCAACGTGTATCGATGTATCCTGCATCTTCCAGATTTTTCCAAAGAATTGTTTTTGGCTCGGAGCAACATTGTGGAACTGCGCCAAGAGGTGTGTCTGTAATATTTGTACTGAATACACAAAGGCCCCGTTTTTATTGTTGACGTTTGAACTACAAATTTATGTATGAATCATCAGTATGTGTAATAAGCTTGGTTTAAATTTATATTTATATTGTCATCCCTGGCTGTTTGGTTGGTTTGTTTGTTGCCACAACACACATGGTGGAAAAATGTGGAAGGGGTTTAGGAGATTTTTTAATTTTGGTGCTAAACCAAACCGGTATCAAGAATGTTTTTCACATATATGGCATATTTAGAGGATTTTAAATGTAAAGATTTGCAATTTTGTGCTATTTGATTGAATTCAAGGGAACTGATTAGAATTTTTTACATGTCCCACATATGAAAACGTGCGACGTGCATCATATGCAAGACTTAAATTCAGTTTCAAGCTGAAGATTCTCAGTGATTGCTGTTGACGGCCTCTTCATAGATTCATTCATCTGTGTTGTTTTTCAGCTACGACCATGAAACTAGAAGAAGTTCTATTGTTTTTCACTGGGTTTGATCTGAGCCACACAATACGACAGCTGTTAAAATATACTGAATACAGTAAGTTGTTGTTTTTCTAACCGCATGGTATCTCAGACCAGTGCTCAGTATCGTCGAAGTCCAGGTATTAGAATCAGTGTCTTGAAAGTTAAAATGGTTTTGGAACATCTCTATTTTATACTTTAATTTTTTTTAATTGCCTAGTGGTTGAAATGTGAAACTCAATCGGGATGTAATCAGGATTCTATGAGCATCCACACTGACACACACATTCTCACACAGCTGAGCGGCACCTGTTTTAAACGTGGTCGGCTTTGGTCTTTGCTGAGGAGGATGAGGATGAAGAGGAGTCTGTTTATCCGGTTCACTCTGTACCATCTCAAGAAGTTTGTGTCTCCTCTCCTCCTCTGTTAAATGACCATCCTCTATGGTCAGCTTAGAGTCTCTCTCCTTCCCCTGACTGGCCGGCTCGGCGCTGGCCGAGTCCCCGCTATTGGCCGAGCCGCTCTCCTCCCTCTCGCTCCCTTCTTTTTGACTGACTGCTTCAGTCTCAGTCTGTTTTGTGACCTCTGTAATTATTTGGCTGGTCACTGAGTCTTTCTGATTGGTGGTCAGAGGAAGGGTGGGGTTTTGTTCTGATGCGGGTGGGTGTGTCGGGCTGACGGGGGGCGAGGCGCTGTCGGACTGAGGAGCGTTGAGTCGATGTTGCGTCCTCAGCTCTGGTTCCTCGGCTCCTCCGTGGTTGTACGGCTGTGGACGATGTGGCTGGTGATGATACAGATATTGCTGCTGATACTGTTGTCTCTGCTGATGCTGCAGCACCTGCTGCTGCCTCTGGGCGTGGTCCGGATGATGCCCTTCACTGTTCGCCACGTCTTCCTCCTTGCTCCCTTCATACCCACTCCCGTGCCCGACCGGCTGCGTACTTCCCAGGACGCTATGCTCCGCCCTCGCCTCCGACGGCCAGCTGCTGACGGATCCGAGCACCCCGGCGATCGGCTGGTGCACGGGCCCCTGGTGCACCCTGGGCTGTGTCCAGTGCACCAGCTGGGTGTAGCTGCCCTGCTGCCACTGCCTGGCCACCGGCTCGCGCTCCTCTGAATGGTAGTGCTGCTGGTTGTGCTTCAGGTCGTCATGGCGATGGAGGTCAGCCTTGGATGCGTGATTCTTGGGCGAAACAGGGTGGACTGATCGTGGAAGGGGCAGGGGAAGGTGGGAGGAGGAGGCGGGCTGCTGTGGTGGAGGGGGGTTTGGGTTGCTCTGAACGGGGGAGCGAGCGACGGGAAGGGACGAGGGGGACGAGGATGAAGAGGACGAGGAAGATGTGGAAGACGTGGCAGGTTGACACCTGCAGCTGACGTGATCCTCCACTGAGATTATGGCTTTGTCGTAGTGAGGCTTCCTGTTGATGTACTGGATCTTTATCACCTGGAGGAGAGGAGGAACAAAGAAACATTAGAGAAATGACTTTTAAATATATTGTTTATTTAACTGAACAAAATTAAAACACACTTTTCAAGAATCTGACCTTTGACCTGGCTGAGTGAGAGTCCATCAGCAGTGTTTTACACTTTTATTCAGATTGAGATTATAGAAGATTCTGACTCACGCTGAACATTATGTGTTGGAGGAGTAACAGACAACATATGATAATGTTTCTTGAGCCAGGCGTGTCTCCAGTCCGACTAAATGCTTGATTGTATTTCGCAAAATGTTAATCCAATCTCTAAATTTAAAAAGCGGAACACTGTAATTTGATTCTGTAAAACGATTATATCCTCGTGTTATTCTGGTTCTGGTCCTCAAAGGAAATGTTACCAGAGTTACTGAATCTATTTGAAGTTCATGGCAGCAGCGTGCACGGTGTACCTGCAGGTATCTGCTGGAGGTGACGGTGGGGATGCACTGCAGGAGCCTCGTGTTGCAGCAGCCCGAACATCTCTGCACCTCCACGCACGGCGGCCACAGCATGAAGTTGGCGTTGCGGCGGTCCAGCATGGACCTGGTCACCTCCATCACCTCTGTCCGAATTTTACAGGCCGCCTGCTGCGCCGGCTGTGCCTCCACTGTGCAGGGTCAGACAGGGAGAAGCATAACGATATAAAACCAGGACGAAGAGTGATGAGAGACAGACGGAAGCAAGAGAAGGATTGATAAAGACAAATAAACAGGAACGGACACAAAGAAAAAAAAAAAAACCTACCAAGACTTCTGGTATATCTGCCGTGGGTGTGGTTTGTGAGAACGTCTTGCTCATCTTCTTCCTCTTCTGCAGAAAAAGACGAGGGAGGACGGGAAAAGAGAATGAGACAAAAACAAAAACACAATTAGGGAGTTAATAAAATCAAGGATTTTTCCAACGTCTGTGTTAAAAAAAAACTGGGCAACATTGAGCCAGCACTTTCACAAGTGACGACAGAACTCTTTCAGCCATGTGAGGCTTTTTTAGCAGCTTTTAGCCGAGCTCATTGTTCACGGCACACAGGAAGACATTTTTTACTGCCCCTGCTAAAACAATTAGGCTATTTTCTGCCACAATTTGTCTTCCCGCCGTCAAGAATACTGTTGAGGAGAGATAGAGTTGTTAAATATAACTCATGTGTGGTTCTCTAAATGTGTGTGTGTGTGTGTGTGTGTGTGTGTGTGTGTGTGTGTGTGTGTCTGTGTTTGCACATGCCGTCATTACATACTGTAGCCCCCCTCGGTGCTAATTATATCCCTGGTGTGGATTGCCTTTGGTCACTGTGTGTGCATGTGTGCGTGCATGTGCGATCGGGAGTGTGTGTGTGTGTGTGTAGGGGGTATTTGGTTGCCTGTTAGCCCTAATTAACGGCCGGTGCAGAGAGAGAACCGTTTGTTATTGTTCTTAGAAACAGTTTCTTTTTCAGATCTGATCTCAGAGATTAAAAGGTCATGTTTTTATTTGCACGGCTAAAGTCTGCATGCTAATACACCGATGCTAAGCAGGTTTAATGTTTATTCTTAGTGTTCCCCAGTTTAATTTAGCGTGTTGTCATGCTTACTGTTGCTAATTACAACAAAACACTGCCGGATGTTAACGTCATTAGTTTTGCTGAAATTTTGTCATAAATCAAATAAAAGCATCCACTGGTTTGAAATCTCAAATTTGGCGTTTTGTCCTTTTTGGCCATCTTGGTTTTTTGAAACCAAAACCAAGTAATCATATTTAGAGGAGCAGGGGGTGGAGCTTGACAACGCTACACGCCTACCTACAGCTTCCACCTGCACCCATTGGACGGTACTAGCTATGACCTCTGCTGGTCATTGGAGAGAATGCAGGTTTCAGTCACTTCCGCAGACAGAAGGGGGAAGGAAAGAGAATAAAGTGAATCGTTCTTGTTTCGCTGAAACTTCGTAATGGGGCTTCGGTTTCAAAATGATTCCACGTACAAACAGTTTGAGTCATTTCCTCCTTCCCTCTGTTGGTTCCTCTCCATGGTGGCTGTTATGTCACTGTGTTATTTATGCATTAACAGATGATCAAACGACAATCCATTAATATATGTATGTGTGACTTGGTTTCTCAGAGGGATTCGTTTATAATGAATTAATCAGCTGCGCATGTCTGACTGTGTGCACAAGTTTGTTTGGACTTTGTTTGGGGTTGGAGATGTAGGGCGTGTGTGTGTGTGTGTGTGTGTGTGTGTATTTCTGTCACACAAACACACACACATCTATATTTCAAAACCCAGAAAGGAATCCAGAGCAGGAGAACAATGCAGTGACCTTGTGCTGTGAAGTTTTTTCTCAGTCTCTCTGACTCAGTTTGTCTGACACTCACCAAGGTCACAACTTCTCTCTCTCTCTCTCTCTCTCTCACACACACACACACACACACACACACACACACACACACACTCACACACACACACACACACACACACACACACACACACACACACACATTGAGCTGGTTCATCAGTCTTTCTGCTGTCTCTGGTAAATATTGCTTTAACATGGTGCTTGGCATGATACTCTCTTACTGCATTCCTATGTCTTCAGGCCTCACACAGATTCACCTCCTCCACGTCTGTGTAATTAGTGTGTGTGTGTGTGTGTGTGTGTGTGTGTGTGTGTGTGTGTGTGTGTGTAGTACCTATTGCATTGGCCTCCTGCAGCAGCAGCACTTTCAGCTCGTCTACAGAGGAGATGGGAGAATTCCTCACCAGGTCGACCAGCGACAGAGGGAGAGGATCGCCCTGTGGAGAGAGACACTGTTTTAATCTGATGATACTTTACAAACACCAACGGTGCAGCGAACCCGGTGAATATGCAGCTACGCCCCAAATTCTAAATAAAGATTAATTTCAACAAATAAGTCATAATGAGGCAAGACCTGTCCAACAGCAACTTTCCCCCGACACTAGATAAGATAACCAGGGTGTTAGAAACCTTCCATATCTCATAGTTCTTGTGCAAAGTCATCGGTTGCAAAATGAAGCAATCAGGTGATTGGATTTGCACCAGTTCTTCTGGATCAGACTCTTTTTCTCAGGCCTGACATCTTATTTGATGCTGCAGGTTCAGTCAAGTCTTCGAGTATTCATCCTTGGTGGACTACGTCCTTCGGAGGGTCCCGCCCCTGAACTGTGTGTGTTTTTCTAATTTTGTTATTTATCTTGAAACATTGAAAGGATTGAAATGAACTGCGGCAGAGAGAGAGAGAGAGAGAGAAGAGAGAGAGAGAGAGACAGAGCCATCTCAGTCCTCTAGCTCAACTCGTGCTCCAGTTTTGTTTCCTCCTGCAGAGGAAATGATGCTTGTGATTGTGTTTGTTGCTGCTGTTGTCACTCTCTCCTCGTCTGTTTACCCTCAAACGTAAGACAGGAAACCCTCTCTCTCTCTCTCTCTCTCTCTCTCTCTCTCACTTTCTCCATTTCTGTTCTGTCACTAAGCATCAAGAATAAGATCTACTTTCTGTGTTGTGTTGTTTCCACCTTTTTCAACACTACAAGTAGAAAACATCTGCTCGTTATACAACACACTACTTGTGCGAAATTTGCTCTCATTTAACCGAGTTATGCAAGTCGTGTATTTTCAAACGGGAAAAAGATAAAGGCTGTGATATTTAATGAACTTTTAATGAATGCCACTGCAGGAATTCATTACAGATTCAGTCTGGCTGTTTCTTAAGGAGACTCCTGCGGTTTCTGCGTGGAGATCAAAAGCAGATTGCACAGTGTTCTGTGTCACATTCTGCTTTGGTTGGCTGTAAGTCGATATTATCTCGGAGCAGTTGCAACAGGATTCGATACAGTCACATGCCAGAAAGATGCCAAAACAAATTAAGGAGTGTGAAGAGTATGAGGAGAAAATATTTTAGAGGAGAAAAGTAAAAAGACTCTTATCCTCCTGCACGATACAAAATGACTTCAGACATGAAGTGTTTAAAGTAGCTCATGAGTAAACACGTCGCCTCTTCAATGATGAAGGCAGAACTCTGAATCTGAATCCAAGTAAGTCGGAGGGTTTATCCATTAAAGTGCAGAATCATTTTAATACTGTTTAATCAAAGTTAAACATTAATGGGTTTAAATTATATCAGTTCTTTTTCTCTTTCCAACCCTCTGATGTTTTATCTATGAATGAAAACGTTCTATATAGTGTGTTTACTTAGTTTTACAGGTACAGTCCAATGGCGACATGTGTTCGTAATTTGTTTGGGTATCAGGGGGTATAGCTCAGTGGTAGAGCATTTGACTGCAGATCAAGAGGTCCCCAGTTCAAATCTGGGTGCCCCCTGCAGTTACTCTTCACTGTACAGTCAACTTTGAGCACAAAAATGTGTAATTCATGGATGTTTAGGAAGAAAACTGATGTGTTTTCAGGTCCAAATAAATATCTGGAGCTTTAAAATCTAAATGTGGTTTTAAAAAGAGACTAAGTGACATTCTAGTGGTTTCTAATAGTGCCACAACCACATATATATCTCAATTCCTCTCTATCTGTCTCCCTCCCTCTCTCACTCCATCTCTCTCGCTCTGTGGGCGGCGGCGGCTCAGGACACCTGGACGACTTTCACGAGCCACTGGCTGACCTAGTTAAAAAACACACACACAATCACTCACCCCATCTTTTCCACTTCTCATACGGATGCTTAACCACTTAACTGTCCGCCCAGTTTGTCCAGAGGGCCACACACACACACACACAGATGCAGGGGCAGTTTTCACTCTGCATCATTACAGCCCCAGTGTTGATTGCAAACACACACACACACACACACACATTGGAGAGTGCAACACACAGTTCCTCACATGGACAAACAACAAACCACTGGTTAAAAAAAGAGCAGGGATTGGACAACAAGCTAATAATAGTGGTTTGAGCAGAAGAGCTAAATTAGCCACAATGACTCTGACACTATGTTCCTCATTCTCCATGTAACGCACACACACACACACACACACACACACACACACACACACACACACAGAAACAGGCCTGTGGAGGTTTGTGATGAGTGAGAAGACTGTGGACTTGAAGTTTCTCATATCACACACTGCGTGAGAGTGTGTAGCTGAACTGTTGGGTGGAGAAGGCTGTCTGCTAACATGACATGATCTACCAGCAGGTCGCACACACACACACAGACACACACACACACACAGACACACACTCATGAAAACACACACTGCATGGGGCCTCGGAGGAAGCCTGGAAGGCAAAGAGACTGTATGGAATGTTTGAGGAGAAAGGTGAAGTGTAATGGAATGTAATTATGGGTCCAGCTGAGTGCTTACACACACGCACACACACATACACACACACACACACACACATGCAAACATTAAAATAGTTGGAGGCAATGTGATAGAAAGTAAACACATACAAAAACACAGTGTGATGAGTGACTCACGATCACACCGCGCTGTCACAACACATGTGTTTTTTTATCATACGTGGCAGATGGCCAACGAACTGTCGCATAAACTCGATACACACACACACACACACTCACACTCACACACACACATATACAGATGTGGGTGCACACAAACCAGCATAACAGATAAACGGACATCTCCCCTCCAACAGCAGAATGTTACGGATGGAGAGATGAGGATAGAGGAGAAATGACAAGGGGAAAATAAATGACAATATGGAAAGAGGAGAAGGAGGAGGAACGACTGTCGTTGAGTGGAGGCAGTGAACTCCTCTAGCTCTTTGTTCCTGTGTCTCAGAATCATAGACGTGTGTGTGTGTTTATAAAGATGGACGACATGAGAGCCGCCCAAGGGTGACGCCAAATCGTCCATTTCAAAAAGAGCCACAGCAGGTAAATGAACACCAGCCACTTCAAGTTAATAATTAGCTTTACAGACTAACTTTAGCTTCAAAGTAAAAGCCCTCCGGTGCAGGTGGGATGACTGGAAGCAATGAGGCGTCACTGGGGTGCTTTTATTGTGAAGCAGCCACAGGCACATAACCCAGACGTGTCAGAGTTGGCTCCGAGTGCTGTCACACTACTTCATTAAAGTTTATAGAATAAATTGAGTTCTTTTAGCAGGAGGGGACAGAATCTGCTGTTCGGGAAAGTTGGAAGTTATATTGATGGCTCCACTTTAACAGCTTTAGGGCCCAGTCACACAAAAGTGTCATTTCTGTGGCAAACCTACAAAACTTTTAATATTGGATATGAAAACATTTCTATACAACTTTTTTTATTCACTACTTTTATTCCTATTATTAAAAAACCTATAGAAAAGACTCCTCGACTAGATTTTCCTCTAATGCTGCACCACACGGGGCTTACAAACAAATACTCTTATGTGCCACTGCGCTTTTCTATCTGACACACATGCACGCACACAGAGGCATAACCCCCCCAACTGCACACACACACACACACACACACAAAAACACAAGCACATATGTCCACTAACACATGACGCAGCTACACTCGGCCAGGCACCCAGATGTGCACACACACACACACACACAAATACACACACAGCTACACAGCACACAAAGTCCGTGAAATCCCCGGCAGATTAGTTGCTGTTCTTATGTAAAATGGATCAAGCAAGGCAGCAGCAAATCATCCCGGCTCGCTCGCAGAGACAACCGTCTGACAGCAACCTGTTCAAAAGCCACCAATCAGCTGCATGCGTGTGTGTGTGTGTGTGTCGTTGTGAGTGTGTGTGTGTGTGTAGAAGCAGTAGTTCTGATTGAAACGACAGATGATGAAAATGTTGAGGCCTGAGCGGGTGAGTGAGGGCTGTTGTGTGTTTGACTCCACCTCTGTTTAATGGATTTAAAAATGAACCGTAACAACTCTCAATGTGTGTCTGTGTGTGTGTGTGTGTGTGTGTGTGTCTGTGTGTCTGTGTGTTAAAGAACATATTGTATAAGCAACACACTTTGACTGGATTACTCACTGACACAGCAGCTGCACAGTGAATAGAAAAGGATCTTTCAGTTGTAAATTGTGATGATTTCTGTCTGTGTGTCTGTGTGTGTGTGTGTGTGTGTGTGTCTGTGTGTGTGTCTGTGTGTGTGTGTGTGTGTGTGTGTGTGTGCGTCCTTGCATGCATTCATGTGTATTCCTTTTCCACAGAATTTTCCAAAGACAGTTGTGGACGAACTATACGACGTCAAAGATGTCTCCATTTGTTCCATCACAGGACTAAACATTGTGACCAGATGAGGATTAGAGAGTGACACACACACACCCACACAAACACACACACACACACACACAGTTCAGAATCTGTGACTCACACGTCGACCTGATGCCGTCTCTCTCTCAGGTCACATGTCAGGTCAGTGTTCGTTTGAATATAAAAAGTTGTCAGATCTTTCCAGTGTTACCTCAAGCTGCAGCTGATCTCCTCACGCACAAGTCATCAGAGGTGCTAATAGTTTCCGTGATTATTCGCAGACTACAGGACGACTGGTCGAGTCCAATGACAGCCATTTTCACGCCCGACTGCCTAAAGCCCTTGTGCAAGGCACTGAGCCTCCGTGGCAGCGGCTCACGGGGGAAGGTGAACTGTGGACCGTGTGAATTGCTGCGTTCATTGGTTTCAAGCGAAGGCTGTAAATAAAGATGTGGCAGTAGTGATGGTGGAGTAGAGCCACAGATACTGTACGTGCTCCTGTGTGATAAGAACTAGTTAAGAAGACAGAAACCAGTCTTTGACTTTTTAATGTCCCATCTGCTAACATGGAGGAGGTGGGGTTCATGAGCTATACTGCAGCCAGCCACCAGGGGGTGACCAAGATGATCTTTGAATACAGTTTATTGTTTCAGGAAGCTGTGCCAGAGAGACGCCGTGAGATTCCGACATCGGTTGATAAGAAACACGCGACGTCAAAGCTCAACGTGCCGAAGATCAAAACCTCAGAGCTGAGAACACGTCATCATGGCTGACACACTGCTCACCAGGATGGATGCTGCAGATGCTCAAACGTACAGTGAAACTCCAGAGACCAGACTTCACGTCCTGTCGCCCAACAACAGCAGATATTTGTTTCTATTTAACTAATAATGAGACGTTTTCCAAAATCATGACACAGAACATGTTATCACAGGCTTCCCAGAGGTCAGCTGACAGGTCGTGCGCAGGACCGACAAGTGTTTTGAGCAGAGACGTGATCAAATAAGAACGACAGGACTGATATGATACGTCTACGTCCTCTCCTGAGAAGAACTTGAGGGAAACTCAGAGAGAGCAAATCTCCGCCAAGGCCCAAAGAAAAATCGAAGTCGTCAAGATCGATGAATTATTCTCTGAGAAATCAACTCGAGTGTTGCAAAATCTCACAATATTACAGTAAGTGATAGAAAAATTTACTGGATCCGCATCAAAATATAATGGGCTGCTCTCTGACCCACACTTCATCCTCCCTCCAAGTTTCGCAATAATCCATCCAGGAGTTTTGGCGTAATCTTGCAAACCAACAGTTAAGAGTTAAAAACGTGACAAAGACGAGTCAGAATCGCTGGCACAGAGAAAAACTAACGGACGAACACCTTCAATCTATTCATGAAGTTTGTTATCAAATGGAAATTCTGTTGGTATCAATGTGCAGAGACACGAGCGTCTGCTGCAAACATGAGGTTTAATGAGACACTGAAATAACGTGATTGAGAGAGAAATGATTTCATCAACAGAGTGACAACAAGGACCTTGATGCTGTGGTGCGACAGTGAAAACAGCAGCTGGGCTGATGGGTAGATTTTAGCTCCTGCTGCTGTTGGCCCGAAGCCAAGGCCCTGCCTCACCCTCTCTCCCCTCCTCTCTCCCCTCCTCTCTCTCTCTCTCTCTCTCTCTCTCTCTCTATGACACTGTGACTCTTCCTTGCAACATTTCGGGAGAATCACGACCACGCAACATAAAAAAGGAACCGTGGAGAGAAACAGGCGCAGCCCAGGAGGAAAAGGTACAGACGCTCAGAAAGGTGCAGTTCAGAAAACATCCCCATGCACAGGTGGTGGAATCACCACAGGGGGATTATGGATGTCAGATTCTCATCTCGTGTCCACCACAGATATCTCGTCCTCTCTGGACTGACACTGTCTACGTGACACACACTAACTGAGACACAAGCTTTTCCCATGTTTCCTCAGGACGACTGAGTATTTACAGGCTGGTAAGAGATCGGAGAGAGAAACTGGTCACAGGGAATAAAACATCTTCAACACCGTTCACCCCATCCAGAGGATTTAGTTGGTAAAGAGCACAAATTAAAGTCGGAGGCATCTTTTTCCTCCGACTCAACCAGGTGGAGCAGTGGAGGTAAACCCAACCCATCCAATCAAATCAATTAGACTTGTGTTACCTTGAAGCATAAAGTTTTTCTGATATTCTTGCTGGTGGTTGGTTCCCTAATAGCAGTGGTTCTCAAATGGAACACCGTGGCCCACTCACTGTGAGAGGTGTTGAAATCACCAGGATATTATTCTGACATGGTGGAAATATTTTAAATTCAGGTCCTAGATCTGTTTCTCTCAGTGTTCTCTCATATAACAAAGAACAAGTGCACAAGAACAACTGCACCATTAATGGTTCCATCTTTAAATCCATTGTTCATTGACAGGTCAACACATTTGAATCCGTGTGTCCCCTCACCGGTCATGCATTTACCGGCACCTCCCGGTCTTACCTCAGCGCTGCCGAGCCTCAGAAGCGCCGCTGAGAGCGCACTCAGCAGCAGCAGCAGGACCGAGGACCTCATGTCGCCGCCCAGCCTGAGGAGCCGCAAGCGACCGGCTGGGCATTTAGCACGTCGGTGTCCAATCCCCCGGCTGCACCGAGCCTGGTCCCGGTGCCGCGCGCTGGCCGCTTGTGCCTGTGCGAGACGCGCACCGTTAAGATATCCCAACGCAATGTGCCACTGCCTTTAAGCGACGCTTGTCCAAATGTTTGCTCACGGTGACTCACGCGCAGGCGAGACGTCTGACTGTGTCCATACCCAAAAACTCACTACCAGAGACTGCAGTGGGACAGGTGCGTAAACGCGAGCTATTGTGATTGAGGGAATCTACAGCGACGCAGTTCCAATTCTATCAGTCAGTGTGATGAGGAGTCCGCGTAATGATTCCAGAAAAATGTCTCCAAATGTGAGATTTTTTTGTGCTCAAATGCGTAAAGGTGCCAGATGCGTCCACTTTAATGTCAAAACTCCAAAGAAACGTGTCAGGTAACGAGCTCCCCGATTCAAAATCGCACTTCAGTGTAAAAAAATAAAAAAATGTAGGATGAGTAAAACCCCCACAACTCCAGAGGTCTGCGCGTAAAAGTTGGTCACCTTGGAACAGCGCGTCGTGCGTAATTCTCTGGAAACTCCGCGGCAAAAAGGAGTCAGATTATTCTCATCCCGGCGCGATTCACTTGACTGCTCGTGGCATCTGCTCCGATGTGAATGTCTCTCTCGTGGTTGTCAGCTCTCTGCACGTCTCACACTTTGCCTCCCCGCGTATCTGCTGCCTCTCGCTCACTGGCTCCGCTGGATCAGGTTGTTCTCGCCTCTTGCGCGTCTCCTCTGTGTTTGCCGTTCGGGCGGTGGAGCAGCTTTTCCTAACAGAAGCAAGTTTTAAACCATCAAGTCAGACAGAGAAACGCAGAAGCACGCCGGAAACCGAAAGATTTGACTTTTCAAAATAAGAGGCTGGTTTGGAATTGCAGGGGAATTTATTGACTTCAAACCAAACATCCAAGCAGAGGAATGAATAAAGAAAACAAAGGATTGCTAATCGTGAAAATAACAAATATTTACATACGATGGAGTATTGGAAAGTACAAATCGCACAGATCATATATACAATTTACAGATTACCATCAAACGTATTTGTCACAAGAAGTAAAAATCATCTGTGTTAAAAATAACTCCAATACTTAAATGGTTTCCTCGTCTGATATATTAATGATTGATGGTGTTCGTGTAGTATTTGTCTTTCAGTTATGTCACTGTCTGACAGTACATATAAGGTTTTATTTTGAAAGTATCTAACTGGAAGTACGAGTCCTCAGGTGCCAAACTTGACCTTGGTCCTCAACTCTGCACCAGGTCCTCTCCCCTGGAAGGCAGGACTTACCACCTCCTTATTAGGAGCAGGGAGACCTGGGGGCCCATGGCTGCTCTTAAAGGGGAAGTTAGGAAACATGATATAAGAGTTTTCATTCCTATCGGTAATATAATAACTTTGATGTTGTGATACTGGTTTTTTTGCTCTTGGATGTTTATTTAAAGTGCTGTTATCTGAGGTTATTATAATTAGAATGAAAGAACACTTCACCACAGCAGTGATGACATAAACAACCGCATTACATCATCGGGAAATGTTAATTGTTTTAATTGAATTTTTTTTTTTTTTTAATTTATCCATCATTTATTTAACCAGGAGAGTCTGAGATACCATATCTCTTCTGCCGGGGAGTCCAGGTCAAGTTGGGCGGCAGATAATCTTATGGTGTTGTTCCATGAAAACACGCCAAGAGAGAGTTAGCCTTGGTCTGTATGTGCAAAGGGATTGAAACCAATAGATTCAGTTCAAGATGTTTATTGTCATGTGCAAGTAATGAAATTCTTACTTTGTTTTTCAGTCTCCCGGCATAAAAATATTATAAAATAAAATAATAGTAAAAGGTGACTGTGGGTTTTGAGCTTCATTTTCGTTATGTTGGAATCCAGAATATATCATAAAATAAAGAGGAACATTAACTTCTGTAATGTATCTGCTCGGTTTCTCTTCCTCTAATATAAAACACCAAATCTGCATTACGTCATCTGCAAGCTCTGCCTGGTTCAGGACATTCTGAGTGAGATCTGGGGCAAATCTTTGTTATTGTTCTTTTTTTATCAGAAAAACTCACTTTGCATTTGTTGTAATCCTCTGGGATTATTGTGGATTGAAGGCACGATGACGTGAAACCAAACCAAGAGGAACAGAAAGTTTGGACAATTCTGTGACCGCTTCATCACCGAGGAAACATTTACTGCAGATTCAACCTGAAGAAGAAAATAGTTTTGTCTTTCAAACACATCAGACAGAAATAAATCTAAAGATTTGACAATTAAAACCATAAAAGTTCATGATCTTAGACTTTCAAGAAGCTGTACAACATTTATATATCCATAATATTTCTCATAAAATTAGCAAAGGAGAGTGAAAACAGCTCTCTGATAAACACTGGATGTCTCTCGCTCTGTGCAGGTTTGTCCCGAGAACTCGGGAATGTCATTTGTCCGTCTTGCGCTGAGAAGATCGTCAACCAGGAGACAAATCACGTGCACATTTCCAGAGCAGACTGGCACTGTTTTCCAGGAAGCTCCGAGGTTTCATTTTGGGGTCACGGCTGGATGGATCGCTGTGGAAGTCAGGGGTCCTGCTTTATTCTTCCTCCATGCAGAGGGAAGACAGAGGAAACAGGCGTCCCAGGGCAGCTATTCCTGGACCACACACACACACACACAGACACACACACACACACAC